CTGGCTATTTTTTTTTTGGTTGTAGCCGTCATTGTTGTTTGGCGGGCCCAGGCTGGACTCGAACCCGCCACCTTGGGTGTATGTGGCTGGCATCTTAGCCACTTGAGCCACAGGCGCTAAGCCAACTTTGTGACTCTTGATAAGTAACTTCACTTTTTTGTACTCCAGTTTTATCACGTGCAAAATAAGGGCACTTATCTACCTTGAGCTGTTTTTGTGAGGAGCAAATACAATTGTGGCAGTGACATGGAGATGCTTAGTAAACTGATTTATTCCTCTCAAATCTGGAGGCTAGGCAAGTTCTGCAGTGGAGCTCAGGCCACTGGCCTTGCTAACATTATTCCAATTTCCTATGGTAGCAAAGCAACATAAAGACACAACATCATGCTCCATACTATCCTCTGGGAAAGAAGCAGCTACAAGAAGGCAAGGGTACTCAGGTACTTGTAATGAATCTCCTTAATAACTTTCCCAGGGGCTGAGGAATGAAGATTGAAATTTTATTTATCCCTCTAACACAGAAAGATCTTCCCAAACAGTAGAAGGGCTAATGTTTATTTACTTATTTAACATATAACAATAATTCATTTACTTCAGTAACATGGCAAACAATTGAATGTACTATTAAAACACTTAATATCCAGAAAGGGGTAGAGCAGGAAAGATCCCAACCCCATTCCGGAGTTGAGGTGAAAGAGCTGAACAAGGCCTCCTAGACCAGCTTTCTCCATTAAGCAGAGACAACCTAGAGATAAAAAAGCCTTGGGGCAGTGCCTGTGGCTCAAAGGAGTAGGGAGCCAACCCCATATACCGGAGGTGGTGGGTTCAAACCCCACCCCGGCCAAAAACTGCAAAAAGAAACAAAAAAAGCCGTGGCTACACCCCCATCAGGAGGCAGCCTTAACTTCTCACAAATAGGAAAGAACCAGATTGTACTGGAGACTGGTTCCTGATGAGTCATTAGGAAGGTCAGCTGGTTGTCTCTTCAGTAGGTAGCTTAGCACACTTCTGGAGGAGAATAGTAATCTGGGGCTGAAGACTGAGGGCCGATATCCAATAAAGGTTACCTTCCTTTCCATAATATTCTGTGCTTTTTTCAATAGCACGAAATCTGAAATCCAAAGAGTCATTAAAAACCCCTCTGGTTGCAACTTGAAAGCATCTTCCAAGCCAACCTGGGGATAGAGATGATGAGTTCAACTTCAGTGGGCCTCTTCCTCAATAGGGGAGTAGCCAGAGAAGAAGCTGGTATTGCTGGCTAGAGCTCGTTTCTTTTTTTTCCCTGGAGCCTTATTTTCTTGGGAATCTGTTGTTATATGTTTCAACTCTGGGAGGTCAAAGGAGGAGAGAACTGGGGAACTCTTCTTTAGCAGCACCTGTTTTACATCACACATCTCTTTCAGGATCTAGGGAAGACAGAGACAGTTATGAATGGACCTTGGAAAGGGGTATAAGCTCAGCCCAGATAAGCCACTGCAGATGCTTGACATACTCCTAGTAGTATGAGGTGTCCCCTATGATTACTCTATGAAAAAGAAAATGTGTGTGCCTGATTCCCAGTTCCCAGAAAATGGATTATACCTTTACCCCACCTGCCTTTCTCCCACTGGTCTCTGTCATAGCTAGTACAGAAAAAGATGCTAATATAGTTTCCCAATACCTGCCTACCTTGCTGTTGGGAGTGGTACAGACGGGCTTGAAGAAGCTCAATCCTGGGGTTCCCTCTGTGGGATCCTCCAGTTTGAAGGAGCCTTCAGAATCAGAGCCTTGGGTCCACTCAACAGTGCCCAAGCTATCCTGAAAATCAAGTGGACAGGCATATTATAAATTTGGCTCTCAGGGTTATAAAATAAGTCTGCTCCTCTTCCATTAGTGAGGTAACAGCTCTGAGTGCCTGTTTAGTCAGTCAAAGTAATCTTTAGGGAGGCTCTGCTTGGGGAAGTGGTAGTGATTGATATGCTCTGTCCCTAAAGGAATGAAGCAAAGCTTGGAGGTAGCCTCTGAAGGCAAAGGACCAGGTAAGACAGCAGCACAAGACATCTCATAAAGCAAGGTTTAAAACAAAGCCAAGCCGTAGTCATTTCTTTGGTTAAACTTCCCCTCTCTACAATCTACAATATCCTTTTTAGCACCCCTATAAGTACCCCTACTCAGATAAGGAAACTGAGGTCAAGAAAGAGAAGTTGTTTAGAGAGTTTGGATTAGAATTATATCCTATTGTCATGGAAACAGGGCTGGATTAAGCATCAGGAAGCCTAAGGCCTAATCTTTTTTTTCTTTTTTTTGAGATAGAATCTATAGAGTGATATGGCATCATAGCTCATGGCAACCTCAAACTCTTGGGCTCAAGCGATTCTCTTATCTCAGCCTCCTGAGTAGCTGGGACTACGGGCGCCCATCACAATGACCAGCTACATTTTTTGTTGTTGTTGTTGCTCTTGCTTATTTGTTTAGCAGGCCCAGGCTGGGTTTGAACCCACCAGCCCTGGTGTACATGGCTGGCACCCTAACCACTGAGCTATGGACACCGAGTCCTAAGGCCTAATCTTAATTGGCATGCCCAGCTGTATAATATAAAGCGAATCACTTAAGCTTATTTATGGGTCTAACATTGTGTCTATAAAATGTAAGTATTGAACTAGATAAGTAGTTTCAACAATTGAAACCCTAAGAAGAAGCCCAATATGTAAAAAGCAAGTTGCTTTCCATTGAAGTGGAGTTGAATAGCCTCAGGCCACACCACTCTGCTAGGAGACCCTTTCCTGGAGCTCTTACATGACTCTAGAACACAAATCGAAAACCTTGGAAATAAAGAATCCATAAGGTCCCTGCTACTTATACAATACTTGACTTCTAGCTTTCTACTTTAGTCCTCTGATACGTACTATCTTAGAAATCTTTTTAGTAGAAAATGCAGGCTCAGCACCTGTGGCTCAAGTGGCTAAGGTACCAGCCACATACACCTAAGGTGGCGGGTTTTAATCCAGCCCTGGCCCACCAAACAACAATGATGGCTGCAACTAAAAAAATAGCTGGGTGTTGTGGCGGGCACCTGTAGGCCCAGCTACTTGAGAGGTGGAGGCAGGAGACTTGCTTCAGCCCAGGAGTTGGAGGTTGCTGTGAGCTGTGATGCCATGGCACTCTACCCAGGGGGATAGCTTGAGGCTCTGTCTCAAAAAAAAGAAAATGCAGGGAAAAACTGTTCATCAGCAGATATTCAAGAAATGCACAAAAGGCTTGGCACCCATAGCACAGTGGTTACAGCGCCAGACACATACACTGAGACTGGCAGGTTCGAACCCAGCCTGGGCCTGCTAAACAACAATGACAACTATAACAGAAAAATAGTGTGGGGGTGGTGGTGCCTGTGCCTTCAGTGAGTAAGCTGCCGGCCCTATACACTGAGGGTGGCAAGTTTGAACCCAGCCCCGGCCAAACTGCAACAAAAAAATAGCCAGGTGTTGTGGTGGACACCAGCTACTCAAGAGGCTGAGTCAAAAAAATCGCTTAAGCCCAAAAGCTGGAGGTTCCTGTGAGCTGTGATGTCATGGCATACTACCAAGGGTGACAAAGTGAAGACTCTGTCTCTAAAAAAAAAAAAAAAAAATAGCTGGGCATTGTGGTGGGCACCTATGGTCCCAGCTACTCAGGAGGCTGAGGCAAGAGAATCACTTAAGCTCAAGAATTTGAGGTTGCTGTGGGCTGTGACGCCACAGCATCTACCAAGGGCAATATAATGAGATTCTGTCTCCAAAAAAAAAAATAGAAATGCACAATGATCATTAGACTGTGCTTGCTATAGTTATTGTATATCACATTGAGAACTACAGTAATGCACTTCTGCCATAGGTTCAGGTAGGTATAAGGCAAATACAGGGATTTGACCTACTTGGTACTGCTAAGGGCACATTTTGTTTCTCTGAGTGTGCTATTCCTGGGAGCAATTTTAGGACAGCTATGTTAACTTGGTTCACAACAGTGACTATTAGGCCTGATTCTTGTGGGTCTTTTCCTAGAGGCATGGAATAGCTGGTTACCATGGAGGTGGTCTAAGTAAGTTATGTTTCAAGATGTCAGAAGGGCCCGGGGTACAGGCTCACACCTGTAATCCTAGCATTCTGGGAGGCCAAGGAGGGTGAATTGCTTGAGCTTAGGCGTTTGAGACCAGCCTGAGCAAGAGTGAGACCCCATCTCACTCTTGCCAGGCATTGCGGCAGGCAGTTACTTGGGAGGCTGAGGCAAGAGGGTCTCTTGAGCCCAGACTTTGAGGTTTTTGTGAGCTATGATGCCACGGCACTCAGGGCAACAAACTGAAACTCTGTTTCAAAAACAAACAAACAAAAACTATAAAAACAACAAGAAAAAAACCCTCAAGATGTCAAAAATATTAACTTTCTTCTTGGAAGGTACCACCTCAGCAAGTGGTTCTAGAGTTGCAGCTTTGGAATAGTTTGATCCTGTATGTCTATGTGCCTGTAAATGCCTGTTTTCTTGTTCCTTGTTCTACCACAGAAATTATACAGAAACAAAGCTAGGGGTGGGGTTCTGTAAAACTGGGAATCTCCTGGAAAAAGCTGTGGAGCCGTGGTTTCTGAGAGGGGAATGTGGACAGACTAGCAGTAAGGAAGAAGGATAAAGTGAAATGTCTCTTTTTCTCGGTACAGAGTAGAAAGAGTTGTGGAGATTCCAGGTTTCAGGATGGAAGGCAAGAAAAAAGGGTGGAAACCAGTTGAAGGTTTGAAGGGATGGTGAGAAGAAACAGTACCGATCCTACCTTGGCTTGTTGGCGATTCCGACATTTTGCTGGGTCACAGGTGCAGTCCATGCCACAGTCTGACTTTTGCTTCCGGCACCCACACTGCTTGTTCCCACACCAGCCCTTGCAGGAACACTGCAAAACAGGTATGTAGAAAGACTTATTTAAAAGGGTTAGAAGACTAGTTTAAAGTCTCTTCCTTTAGGCTCAGCGACTGTAGCACAGTGATTATGGCACCAGCCACATGCACTGAGGCTGGCAGGTTCAAAACTGGCCCAGGCCAGCTAAACATCAATGATAACTACACCAAAAAAAAAAAAAATGATGGGCACTGTGGTGGGCACCTGTAGTCCCAGCTACTTGGGAGGCTGAGGCAAGAGAATCATTTTAAGTCCAAGAGTTTGAGGTTGCTGTGAGCTGTGATGCCACAGCAGTCTACCAAGGGCGACATAGTAAGATTCTGTCTCAGGAAAAAAAAAAAAAATACCTTCCCTTGTAAGTTCCCTTGCAAGCCTTTCTAGAAAAAATGCAAAGTACTATCATCTTTACCAAGCTTCAATCTCCTCAGTCCTCTTTTCCTTTTTTTTTTTTTTTTTGAGACAGAGCCTCAAGCTATCCCCCTGGGTAGAGCGCTGTGGCATCACGCTCACAGCAACCTCCAATTCCTGGGCTCAAGCGAGTCTCCTGCCTCAGCCTCCCAAGTAGCTGGGATTATAGGCGCCCGCCACAACGCCTGGCCATTTTTTGGTTGCAGCCATCATTGTTGTTTGGCGGGTCCGGGCTGGGGATTCGAACCCGCCACCTTAGGTGTATGTGGCTGGCGCCTTAGCTGCTTGAGCCACAGGCGCTGAGCCAGTCCTCTTTTCTTTAGTGGAACAATGATCACCAAGAATCACCATAGGTTTGCCATGGGATAAGTCTTTTCAGACAAATCCATTTCCTTTTTTGGATAGTATATTTGAAGGACAGATCAGAGGGATATAATAATGCAAGGCAACTCACAAAGACTCTTATGACCATTCTACGGCTAAAGAGAAGAACTGTGAGCTGGATGTTAGTATATTTATGTATATTTAAGGACTGAGTATAGTATAGTTGCTTCTTATCTTTAGATCTACCTAACTGTACTTTCATCCAACTCACATTTTTACATTTTTCCCATGGTTGGCCTGGGCTTTGTCCTTGGAACTTTGTAACACTGTAATAAATCACTAATTATGTGATATAAAATCATTTACATTTGATAGCACTCTATAGTTTTCATAGTACTTTCATACATATAAAATACAAAATTTCATTTAAATCTCACAACCAGTCTACAAGGTAGGCATTTTAACAATGACACAAAACTGAAAGAATTATTAAGATAACAGAATCATAAGTCAAAAATATTTTGACAGGATTTATGGGCTAAAAGTAGAATGAAAAGATACAATGGGGTAAATGTAAAGTTTGGTATTTAGGTTCCCCCCAAATAAACCGTATGAATACATTATGGGGGTGATCTAGCTTAAAAGCAGTTTATGCAAAAAGGGCCTAAGCATTTGAGGTGTGAGCAAGTTCCATGAGTCAGTAGTGTTTAATGGCTGTCCAAAAGCAAATGCGGCCAGGCAGAAATTTGGAGTTCAGAAAATATGGAGAGTAATTATTTCATCGTACCTGGCTTAATTGGACTGGACCCCATGTGAAATAATGCATCCCTTTTTAGGGCACCATGATTTTTTTCATGCATACAAAACCATGACAATAATAATAAAACTCCATTCATATCACCCCCTTAATAAGTAAAATGCACATAACTGAGGTATCATGTATACTCTTTCCTGATATCATTTCCCTCACTCTTCCCCAAGGATAAACAATCTCCTGAAATAAGTACTTTTCATTCCTATGCATGTCTTTTACCATATATGAGTTTTTGTAAAAAAAAAAATTTTAAAGGCCGTGCATGTGGCTCAAAAGGGTAGGGCGCCAGTCCCATATGCTGGAGGTGGCGGGTTCAAGCCCAGCCCCAGCCAAAAAAAAAAACAAAAAAACTTAAAACTTTATATAAATGATACATGTATCCTCCTCAAAGAGTCCTCTCCCAAGTACTCTTCTAAAGTGCTCTTTTCCTACCTCATTATTCTCTATGAGTTCACTATACACTCTTTTCTTTGTGTCTTATCACTATGTAAAATTATTTTGTTTTTCTGGTTATTGTATGTTTCCCTTTACAAGAAGGTCAGTTTCTGCCTGTAATCCTAGCACTCTGGGAGGCCGAGGCAGGTGGATTGCCTGAACTCACAGGTTGGAGACCAGCCTGAGCCATAGTGAGACCCTGTCTCTAAAAATAGCTAGGTATTGTGGCGGGAGCCTGTAGTCCCAGCTACTTGGGAGGCTAAGGCAAGAGAATCGCTGAAGCCCAAGAGTTTGAGGTTGCTGTGAGCTGTGACACCAGAGAACTCTACCCAGGGCAATATAGTGAGACTCTGTCTCAAAAAAAAAAAAAAATCAATGGGGCAGCACCTTGGGCTCAGTGAGTAGGGCACTGGCCCCATATATAGAGGGTGGCAGGTTCAAATCCGGACCCACCCAAATTGCAACAACAATAACAAAAAAAATAGCTGTGCATTGTGGCAGGCACCTGTGGTCCCAGCTACTCTGAGGGCTGAAGCAAGATAATTGCCTAAGCCCAAGAACTAGAGGTTGCTGTGAGCTATAACGCCACAGCACTCTACTGAGAATGACAAAGTAAGACTGTCTCAAAAAAAAAAATAAAAATGCAAATAACATCTCACTGGATTTTTTGCAATGATTAAAGGAGATAACATATGAGAATGGTTTGTCAACTGTAAAGTGCTATAAAAATATTAAGGACTGTAATAATCATTTTGGAAGCAGATTCAATGAAATGTTATGGAACATCACCTATTACGACTGGTAAGAACCTAAAAACATGAAGAGAGCTAACTTGTACACTCAAATCGCCCTCTCCACTAGCCTGAGGGTCTAAAGAGAGCTGGCCCAACAAGCCACTGCTTAGTGGAGTTTTTGAATGGGACCTAAAGGGTCCTTAGAGGGCAATCCAAAGAGTATGAGGCTAGCACATTCCTAGATTCAGAAAGCTATCCCAGGGGCAGTGAATACTAATGATTAGAATTTCTGACAGAGTTGAAGAGCTAGCTCCTACCCCTTGGATGTTCTTCCTAGACACCTTAAATTTTGTTGGCTTCCATTCCTCATCATCTCCATTATCACCATCACCATCTTCATGTTCATTCACAGAATGCTCTAAGCAATATTTTAGATCCTCAATATTCATACTTTGCTCCAGGAACTTTTCTTTAACACGAGAAGGTTTTGGCTAAAAAAGAAAAAGAAAAAAAGAAAAAAAAAGGTTTGGAGTAGTTAAGACAAATGAATAATATCTTCCCAGTAGCTATTGCTAGCCATACTCTCAGATCAGAGATTTCAGACTCCCTCAAATATATCCCACTTGGCTTTACTAATCAGAAGAAAATCTGCTTTAGCTTTTGGCTTCAGAGTCTTTGAAGGGACAGAAACTGGAGGCTGACCAATCTGAGGGAGGAAGAGGGGACTCAAGATATGATGAGATAAGTATCTTTAGATGGACAGCTGAACATTACTGTTCTTTTCTACTGTTCCTCCTCCTCCTCAGTTGTGTTAGATAATGCCTGTGCATGGCCAAAAGTTAGTCTTCTAAGGAGGGATAATGTCTATTTCTCTTAGGATTGTAGTTTTATTTGGGACTTGAAAGAAAATTGAGATGCTAGAATTTGGGATTTTATCTCTTAATCTCTTACAAAGGGGGCTTTAGTAAACTTACCCTAAACCTAGGCTATGCAAAGTTACCATAGGCACTGAACATTTTACCTTAGGTGGGATATATTCAAAAGAAGAGTCTGGAGATACAAGGTTATCCTTAGGAAGATGTTTCTGTCTTCTGGCTACTTGGAGGAGGGTCAATTTCTATTTGAAAAAAAGAGAAAGTATGTAAGTGCAGGGCATATTCGGGGAATGTTCATGGCTCAAGCGCACAGATTCTAGACCTTAGCTCATTCAATTTTAAGCCATAGTAAAGTGAGGCAGGGTTACAGTAGGGTACGTTGAAGGGCTCCCACTTTCCAACATCAATAATATTAGATTCAGAAAAGGGCAAATTTGAAAACTTATCTTATACCACTTTGAAAAGAATTTGATTATATCACATGAAAACTCAATGTAGATGTGCAAAATAGAGCCAAGTCATTCTGCTGAGAGTTGTTTGCAGGAACTAGCCTGAGTAGCAAAAGGGCCTTCTAGGGCTTATCAAGCGAATGGGAAACTGTATTACCTGTCTAATAATTTCATTCTCTTGGAGAAGCTGCTGATTTTGCTCACACACTTCTCGCATCTTCTCAAGTTCTTCATCCTATTTCCAGAAAGTGCAGTGATATGTTGGGTTATTTTGGGCATTACATGTGGGTTACCAAACAACTCACACAGATGAAAACATACTGCTGCCAAGTTGCCGACAGCAGATGGTCTTTACACAGCAGGCATTGGCACCCAGAAAGATGTCTGATTCCCAGTTCCTAGGTGTCCTGAATGTCACTTCTATTCCAATGCTCTCCAATAGCTCTGACCACACTTGTAGGGACCATGAACTCTACCCTAAAAGCCTTTATTCTTTTCCATTCTCTAGCTTCATCCTTTTACCTCAGGATGCCGATTAAGAAACCCCAAGAAAGTTAGTTCTGTTTCCTTTAAGTCTATAGATGCTTCTGTTCACCCTTCTCAACATAGACTAGGCAGCTTATTTGCCACTCTAAGAAACTTGATTAAACTTCTTGGCACTTAAGGCAACCAGACTGATGTATACAATCTTAACTAGTTTGGTTATGTTTTAGATGGGAGATGCCAAGGAAATCTTGGAGACTAGTGGGTTAGGAAAAAGATTCTAAGTTGGACTAAAACAGTGCTCCAACATGCTACTAAAGGTGTGGTGTTCCCAGCCTGTGGAAGAATTTTAGACCCCAGGCATTTCAAAAACATGTCAGGTCTCAGCTCAGAAGAACAAGCTCAGATAGAGTTGAATGTCCCTAGGATGCCAAGTAACTACTGGATGATTTCACTTCCTTAACTCTTCAGAGCTTGAGGTTAAGGCAAAGAATCAGGAGGCTTCAAAGTCTGGTGTGGAGTATTTACTGCTGTTTTGCTACCAAAAATGAGGTTATTCTTATGTGTGACTACACTCTAAGTGCCACTAATCTGACCAAATAGGGCCAAAAAGCAATAGAAGCTACCATTATAAACGTTTTTTTTCAGTACTAAATTATCCTGTGCTACAAGTACAATGATACTAGATTCTCAGTTAGGCCTATGAAACCCATCTCTGGGGACTTCTCATTATCAAACCTGACACTTGAGTGTGTTCAACAGCTGCTGTTCTTTTTCGCTGACTGACTCCTCTAGCTGTTTCTCTGCCATTTGGCTTTGTTGCAGTTGACTGAGAAGGTACAGCACCTAGAGAAAGACACAACCCAATGGGCAATATCAAAGAACAAGTGGAAAAGGAATTTTGACTTAGTTCAAGCAGTAAACCAGGTGAATCTTTTGTGATTTAGAAGTAAACCCTTCTCTTTTGCTGTCACTTTTCTTTTTCCAGTTTTTTCTTATTTGCAGAATTTGGAAAAGACCACATGGCCTTTTGAGGAACTTCATACACAGATTACTTTTTAAAACTAACAACAAAAGACAACACTAGTTTCTCAAGAAAGCTTCTTGGCTTTATAGAGCTTACCTTCTCTTGGTGCTGTTGTTCCACTCTGACCAGTTCAGCTTGTAACTCTGTCTCTATCTCAGCAAAATGATTTCGTTCCTCAAACAGCATCTTCTGCATGTCAGCACAGCTAGCCTTGCTCTGTTTCAGGCTGCTTTCAAGCTTACTGACCTGTATTTTGGAGGAGACCAGCTGGAAAGAAAATGAGAAGATCAGTTTATTTGGAGAATGACCTCCTCCCCTCAATTCATTAGGCAGGAAATATTAAGTTTTCTTGAAATGGTCTGAGAAAAGTTCCTCCATGTCCAAATTCATTCTTTTTTTTATGTGATATGGATTCTATCATTGGATAGTAACAACACTATTATTCAATTTCCAGATCAAGAGTCCTTATTTCTGCTGAGATATATATATCTTGGAGCTAGAAGCCACTACTAAGGTCATTTTATTTCTTGCTCTATCTCAAGGCAAGAATAAATCTAACACAAATAATAACCTGACGACTCCAAATTCTGACATTTAACAAGTTCTTTCTTAATTTTGAAGAGAAATCCAAAAGACACACCCTTATGGCCAATTATGTCCCATCTCAGAATGTCTGTATTCACATGTCAGAACTCATAGACATATTAGCTAAGAATGCACATCTGGCTCTTTAAGCTATGTTGATAACCTACACTGGCCTAGCTTTATATTCACTACTAGCCCAGGTGGTGAATATTGCAAATACCAGAATTCACACAGTGGAATAAATCTGTCAACCCAACACACAAATGTACAAAGGGTAACATTGCTCAAATTCATGAGTTTGTATGCTTGTCTTGAGTGAAAATGTCTCAACTTCAGAGGTGATCAACTTTCATTCCTTTTGTGACAATGTAAGATGAAACTATTTTAAGGTCAGTGAATATGGCATTTCCTTATAATGAATCTTTTTTTTTTTTTTTGAGACAGGGTCTTGCTCTGTTACCCAGGTTAGAGTACAGTGACATCATCATAGTTCACTGCAACTTCAAGCTCCTGGGCTCAAGTAATACTCCTGCCCCTTAGTCTTCTAAGTAGCTGGGACTATAGGCACATGCCACCATACTTGCCTAATTTTCTAATTTATTTTTTGTAAAAATGGGGTGTAGGTCTTTATTCAGGCTGATCTCAAACTTCCAGACTAAAGCAATCCTCCTGCCTTGGCCTCCCAAAGTGCTAGGATTATAGGTATGAGCCATTGTACCGGGCTTAAAATGAATTTTTATGTCAAAAGACACTTAGCTTTTCCCTTTTCTATATTGTGTCTCAAAATTTTTGAATATATGTGTTTTAAAAAGTAGTACAATATAATAGTTTGTGGCTAGCCAGTGACCTACTATGGTATTCTGATCTTCTTCTAATAATAACAGCTACCATTTATTGAGTGCTTGCTATATGCCAGGTACAGTGAGTATCAATTTGGGAGTCATATTTTTATAAGTGATTGGCCTTAACTTGCTTACACAAACCTTTACTCACTAAATTCTCTCTCTAATGTTAGTGTTATTGGCACTTTTCCAAGGTTAATATCTTATTTCAACCTACATAGCCAGATGCCTAATTGCTGATAGGAAAAGTGATGTTTACCTCTCCAATTAAATATTTCAGAGCACACTTGGCTTCTAGAATGGTAGCAATATTCTCCCACCGTTGTTTTGTCCTGTCTTCACTTTCTGCATCCAGCAGCTTCTGCTGTAGGTCAGCAATCTGAGCACTCCTTCAGGGGAAGAAACAATGAGTCTTATTGTGAGTAGCATCAAAATCAAGAAGGGGAAAAAGTTCTAAGGAGAAACTTCAAATCATTTTATGGATGGAGCTATTAGTTAAATATCATTATAGCTGAATTGTCCAGTTAGGATTTTATATGGTATCTCAAATCCTGTTATAAAGGGGCTCCAAGAAGCTATCCAAACAGTTTTATTTTATTAAAAACTGTTTAAATAAATGGGTCATATACTGGGACCTGGAAAGATTTATTATAGTAAGGCTTTTGTTGTAGGGCTGGGGTTTCCAATCATTTTTTTTTCTCTGCTGCGTATCGAAAAAATAAGAGTTGTTTTGGGCCAAACATTAAATATGAAAATACTAACAAAAGCTAATTAGCAAAAAAAAAAAAGATCTGTGCATACTTTTTGTGTTATCTTACACCACAGATAAATAAATAAAAATCCTCACAAAATCAGCATGTGGTCCATAGGCCACAGGTTGGACGCCCCTATACAATGTAGAGGATTGACTATAATGTAATTTTGTCTTAAGGCTATATAGGCTCAGACTATGATATGGTAGTCTACCTACACAAGGATAAGAGTCAGAAGGAAAAATCTCAAAAGAACAAACAGGTAAATGCTCTTTGCTGGAATCAAATACCAAATTGACCCCTATGGCTGGTATTGTGAGAGGTTATCTTGAAGTGCTTGCCACAGGACCAATAAGTTTCTAAGAAAACTAGCTATCCACATGAGGTAAGATTGTCTTCATTTACATCAACTAGAACAAGACATCACAAAAGATTAAATGCAGAGAGAGAGAGAGATAAGAATCCAGCTGTCTTCAACTAAGCCAGACATTGTTGACCATGGTTGTAGCTTCCTGATCTAATAGGGCCTTTCTGATCTAGTATGACACAGTAGACCAAGGTCTGCATAATATTTCCGTTTCATCAATAGCTTTCATCTCAAATTTGTTCTGTGTCTAATGAGAGGGAACATACCAGCATGTGCTTAATATGCAGTGCTATGTTAGATACTATAAGGAAGATAGGTATAAAATTTAATCTAAGACTGTAGCTCTCAAATTTTGGGGGCTCAGGACCGTTTTACAGTCTTAAAAATTATTGAGCATTTCTTTTTTTTCTTTGGAGATAGTCTTATTATGTCACCCTCGGTAGAGTGCTGTGGCATCACAGCTCACAGCAACTTCAAATTCTTGTGCTTAAGCAATTCTCTTGGCTCAGCCTCCCAAGTAGCTGGGACTACAGGCACCCACCACAACACCTGGCTATTTTTTTGTTGCAGTTGTTATTGTTGTTTAGCGGCCCAGGCTAGGTTTGAACCTGCCATCCTCGGTGCAAGTGGCCAGCGCCATAACCACTGTACTACAGGTACCAAGACAAATTACTGAGCATTTCTAAGAAATTCTGTTCACATGTGTTTTACCTATAGATATTTATAGTATTAGAAAATGAAACCGAGAGTGGTGCCTGTGGCTCAGTGACTAGGGCACTGGCCCCATATACCAAGGGTGGCAGGTTCAAACCCGGCCCCAGCCCAACTGCAACAAAAAATAGCCGGGTGTTATGGTGGGTGCCTATAGTCCCAGCTACTTGGG